TTCAGCGATTTCACTCCAGCAGCTTTTCTCTTAAATACTCTCTGCTCGATTTTTGCAGCTTTCCTTGGATCTTCCATGTCCCTGGCTTTTCCAAACTTCTGGGGTCTCCACTTCACCTTCAGCTTCACCCTTTCATCTTCACAAATTGCTGTCTCAGGGGCAAACTGCAGGGCCAGCAGGGCCCTTTGCAATCGAGGTGGAAGCCTTCTTACCCTCAGAATTTGTGCATTTTCCTTGCACCTAAAATCAGCACCTTGTGGATGCCGCCAAGGTTTGCTGCTAACTGAAGCAGTAGCCAGGCTTTTCTCTCTCTTGGCTGTAGGGCTCAGTTGCCTGTATCGCAGGGCTCTGTTTACCTGATTGTGATGAAAAGCTTCTCTATGTTGTCGCCATTGTGGAACCTCACATGGTCTCTGTCACCATTCTGGAACATGACGCTCTGCGGCTTTTCCTTCTGAGTAAATATTTTCACCTTTTGGGGTGAGGCTGCACAAGGTGGGGACCTGCTTCCTGGGATGCCCTGGGGCCATCTTTCTTAACTCTCTGTTTCTCCTCAGGAATCAAAATCTCAACTCTGTCTTTACAATCCACACCCTTCCTGGAATTTTCCTTCAGGGCAAACTCACAGCATTGGAAATTATCCTGCTGGGCTCTTTGCTCTTGATTGGAAACATAAAGCTCGCTAAAAGCCGCCAACAATAGCCATGCCACAGCTTCAACATTTGATTGCTTTTTAATTTCTTTTTCAAGATTAATCAGTCCATTGAGCTTTGTCTCAGTCTCAGGCAAAGTCTCTGGGCAGGAGCAAAATGCAGACAAACTTTCTGCCAATCCATAACACACATCATGTAGAGTCCAATGACCAATGCAGTCCTTCTTCCCAGCAGAAACCTCACAAGCCTGGTCTTTACCATGAGGCTTTCTATCAGCCTTCTGATCTCTGCAGCTCTGACCAGAATCTCCTCTACAGAACATCCTAAGCTTCTCCAGCTCTATGCATGGAGACGACATGTCCAAACCTTTCCAAACTCCGCCCACAAGCCATTTCCAAAGTCTCTTGAAAAACATGGCCAGGTATAGTCACAGCAAATGACCCCATGCCTCAGTACCAAATTTCTGTCTTAGTTACTTTTTACTTGTTGCTGAGACAAAATACCTGAAGCCCAAAATTGGGAAAGCAAAGGTTTATTTCTTACAGTTTTTGGAGGTTTCAGTCCATACTCAGTTGGCTCCAAGACAGGCAGGCATGACTAGTCTGCCTTTCATGGCATCTGCAAACAGCAAGCTCAAACCAGCAAAGAGAAAGACACACCTTCTTCCTGCCATTACATCACATCCTGGCTCCACCCTTATGTGGGTGGAGCACTGACACCATCAATCCAAGCACTATACAATGAACCATCACAAGTGAACAATGCAAACTCATGAGGCCTGGGGGACACAGACATAAACCATGACACTACCATAATGTCTCTTGTTTTCTTCAAAATACTTGTCCATACATCCACACTCAAAAAGTTAATAAATATCAAAATAGTATAAAAGTAATCAAAACACAAGAACCAGAGCTGTAAGGGCTTTCAAGCCTAGAAATCAATAATGGCTGCCATAATATCTCTCGTTTTCCTCCTCAGCATAACTGTCCATGTCTTCATACATATTGGAATCAAATCACTGAAAGCAGAACAAAACCAAGAACAAAACTATTATTGGCTTTTGAATCCAAATGACAGGAAATCATCAGTGGCTACCATGTTCTCTAATTTTCTTCAGTGTAGTTGATACTATCACACATACTAAAATCAATTCTTATAAATGCTTCCTATGGAGTTTTAGGCGTATATAAGCCTAGATAAGTGCATCTATTCTTTCTGTATTAGAAGGTGCAATGGATTTTTTTTGCATCATTGTTGACAATGGCAGATGTGAGTACTCTAACTGTCTGTAAATGGAAAAGCAGGCTTTAAAATATGAATATATATATATATATATATATATATGAGATAGAGAGAGAGTGTGTGTTTACATTGACATGGATGAATTAGAAAAAATGTTAGAAGAAATAGGCTAAGTGCATGGAAATTCATTAGAATGATGAGTAACAGAGATTAGCATTGCTCATAAAATGTAGGGCAAAGTATAAAAATTTCTGGCTAAATATGAAGAAGAAGTTCAAAATTTTAAAGCACGATGACTATGATTAATGATGATATGTTGTACACTTGCAAAATACTGAGGGAGAAAGTGTTCTGTCCACAGAAATGAAAACTACACGAGGTGATGTATGTGTTTTCTAAATGTAACCATTTCATAATGAATAACACTTTTAAACATCAGATTTTATATGATAAGCCTATACTATTTTACCTGATGAAAATAAATATATTTGAGAAGATAAAAAAATTATAATAATTTAAAATGGAGTCTTTTACTTTTATATTATTAAGGCACCAAACTATACCATAAAATCTTCAGAGTCTTTGGAAGAGTGTTTCACAGTGTGTTTTTTCCTGTGATTGATTCCTTGAATAATTTGAATATTTCTCAGAGTAAATCACATGCCTTTGAAATCAAACAAACAGACAAAAAGTTCCTCCCTGGAGAAAATGTATTTATCTCCCTCCCTGCTTCCTGTTGGGAGCCATTGAAGCTAGAAATTGACCACATGTGCGTGGCTGCACCATGATTGTCCCAAAAGCAAATATTACTCAGGGCAAGCCACATGAAGAAGTTGCTTCATCCCAGAAAAACACCAAGTCCCTAGACAATCCAAGCAATGGATTGCTTGGCAGCACAGTTGAAACTGACATCATCCTTCTGAGTGTATAAATAAATGTGCCATAAGGGTTGAGTAGCTCCTTTCCTCCCATAAGGAGAGAAGATCTTCACCTGACCCCAGCTTTTGTCTATTTTCTCATGGTTTCAGGGTCCTTCACTCCAGAAACCTCCAGAGCTGCATGTGTCACCGGCAGCTACCTACATAGACCCAAAATAAACTGAACAATTTGCATTGTACTTTCTTTCTTGCACCCCAAGGTAGATGAATTAATGGGAAGACAAAGAGACAGTTTATTTCATCAGGAGCTGTAAGGCTTCATAGTATGAGGCTCTAGCAACTGGAACCGTCCTGTTTCCCATTGCTTGCGCTTCTCTGGTTCCAGCAGCTGGGCTTTCTGCGAACAGTTCATGCAGAAAAGAAAAGTGCTGGAGTAATCATCAGGGACTCTGTCCTTGTGAGTGTGGGTGGAGTACAAAGAAGAGGAGAAAAGATGTGTAATAGAATATGAAAATGGTGAGTTCCTAAACCTCTATACTTTTCAATAAAACATAGGCTCCTGTTGTATTTTCTGCATCCAATCACTTGTTTATGAATTACTTCTCCAAATATCTATTCTTTGCTGGATATTGTCTACTTTGTTCCAAATTTGTCGGGGGTCTTATTTTTATTTATTCTCAACCAATTTTTACCAGGAGATTTGACTTCCTGATAGCCTTTGTTACTTCTATATTATTATAAGTATTGTTTTCCTCATTCCTCAATGCCATCCAACAGCTAATGTCATTATTTCTGACGTCAAACTATCCAGTCCTATTTCTTTTTTTATATTATCAACCCTTTATATATTCATAAAAATTTCAAGTGACTGAAGTTGAAGGAGACTTTCTTGGCATGGTAGTGAGTTTATCACAAATACTTCAGTGTGTAATGTAACTTCTTCTCTAGTGTTTAAAAACAACTGTGTTTATTCATGTGTGAAAATGGCCTTGGCATCTTCTTTTTACAATCTCATCTCAGGATGACCCACTCATGCATGCCTATTAGATTTTTCTCAAATGTAGTTTTCAATGGGGACTATGATTAGGATTTATATTGACTGACTTTCTGTTCTGGGATGAATTCTGTTATCCAACACCTTTATGTAAAGCAGGATTCTAGTTATTGAACCAATTTTGTTTGATATCATGCATCATCCTGGGCAAGAATTTTCTGAAGGAGAAAGGCACTGAAATCTTCGTTAACTAAAAATGCTGTCTCCAAAAGAGGTAACCAAAACCTTTGATGTTTTTTTTGATGAGTCCCTCTATAATGGCAACCAGAGTTCAAGGGGGTATTACTCAGTCATACCTATTCAAGACTCATGTATTGAGATTATAAGGACAGAATTATGTTTATGAAATGCCTGCTGTATTCCAGGACCCAAAGAATAGATTAGATCTCCTCCCTTAATTTCCTTCCATCCTGCAGTGAACCTGTACTGTCCTGCTGTAGTAAAGGAATAGTGGCAGGAAAGAGCATTTAAGTAACTACCGCAAGGCTACACATGTGTTATATTGCTTGGCCAACATCCTATCCCAGGAATTCTGATTCATAAAATCAATTTTAAATCACAGATGCATATGTTATCTTGGGATAGTTACCCAAATTAATATTTAAAATGAATAATAATAGCTTTAATTTACTGAGACCTACAGTGTGTATATTTTTTAAACCTTAGAAACAAACAATGGTAATAAACACATTTTAGAAACAAAAATAAGAGACTAAGAGTTAACTTTAAAATCACTGTGAAGCTTAAATCTTAGAATGAATGTTCCTTATGTGAAAAATCCATGTTTAAGGGGACTGCAATGGAAAAAAACAAAAGAAGTATGGAGATTATCAAGAAAATATACATAAAATTTTCAACAATATTACAAAAGTTCTATCAAATTTACAATTTGTTTATGCCTGCAAATTCAAGAAGGTAAATTAAAACAAAGGCAACAGTGATGTAAACAGAGATGAATGTCCACAGCATGAAGGGAAATATGGACCACTGCGCAGATCTGAAAGGAATCTGAGCTGTCACTGGGCCGGTGAACCACTATTACTGGCAGGCACCAGTAGAAAGGGAAAGGTCTGTTTATACTTGACATCATAAAGCATAAGGTAAATATGATGGCATCTGGCTGTGCCTTCAAAACTGATTTTTTTCCTGGCACAGCAGATATTCTGTGGCATGGAAACACTGAACCACACCGGCGCACCCCAATTCCTCCTTCTGGGCCTCTCACAGGACCCTAAATTGCAGCCCATCCTCTTTGGACTGTTCCTGACCATGTACCTGGTCACGGTGCTCGGGAACCTGCTCATCATCCTGGCTGTCAGCTCTGACTCCCAGCTCCACACCCCCATGTACTTCTTCCTCTCCAGCCTGTGCTTGGCTGACATTGGCTTCACCTCCACCACGATCCCAAAGATGCTGGCGAACATTCACACACACAGAAAACGCATTTTGTATACAGAGTGCCTCATTCAGATATTTTTGTTTTTGACTTTTGTGGGAATGGATAACTTACTACTGACCATAATGGCATATGACCGCTTTGTGGCCATCTGCTATCCCTTGAAATATGTGACCATCATGAACCCCGATACCTGTGTTTCCTTAGTTCTGATGTCGTTGTTTGTCATGCTCTTGGTCTCCCTGATTCATATTCTACTAATGAAGCAGTTGACTTTCTCCAAGGACACAGAAATCCCTCATTTCTTCTGTGAGCTTGCTCAGGTGCTCAAGGTGGCCAGATCCGATGCCATCACCGATGTCAATGTCATCCTGTTGTACGTGTCAACTGCCCTGCTGGGTGTGTGTCCCATTACAGGGATCCTCTTTTCTTATTCTCAGATCATAGCCTCCCTAATGAAGATGCCCTCCAAAGAAAGCAAGTTTAAAGCATTTTCCACTTGTGGGTCTCACCTCTGTGTGGTCTTCTTGTTCTATGGAACAGGCCTTGGGGTTTACCTCAGTTCTGCAGGGACCCATTCTCCCCATGACAGCGCGGTGGCCTCTGTGATGTACACTGTGGTGACCCCCATGCTGAACCCCTTCATCTACAGCCTGAGGAACAAGGATGTGACAGGAGCCCTGGGGAGACTCCTCAGGAGAGCAGCCTCTCATCCTTAATGACCCACTTATCTTAGAATTAACTGAACATCGTGTACCCTGAAACAAACACCTTGAATTTGTGAACTCTGTATTTTTTCTTCCCACAATGACATCCTTAAATATTTGTATTTCCAAAGCATCTATGACTTTCCACTTGGTATTATTCTATTTGTTTCTTCTCCACAATGTACTCAGAAGTTTCTTTTTAAACTTTTCTTCACTCTGCATGTTTCATAAAGTTATAAGTCTGGTAATATTTCTTGTGGGCATTCCTGATCTTTCCAGCATCATGTAATGTACTGATATCATCTGTTGCTTCTCTCAAATATTTCACTTAGCTGTTAAGGTTTTATGGGTTTTTGTGTGCTACAGAAGTAATGGAGTGAATATCATCACAGTTGAAGTTTTACCATAGCTGAAGTGTAAGTCTAATTTTACATGCCTTCATACTGGAAAGATTTCTTTCAAATAATTCCTCACATTCATCAAACTTCTGAATGGAAGAGGCTAAGAATGGGATGCACGGTAGCTTGGAACTTGGTATTCAGACCACACTTTTCATTAGCACATGTTTGCAGCATGTGACAATTACATTTCTAGTGAGGAGCTGGTGTGGGCACACAGTGTCTTCATTTGCTTTGCTCCTTAACATTCTCTCCCTGCTTCCTGGCTCTGTATCTTTCTGTAAAGAAGAATAATTCAGTTGTTTGAAAGAAAATGAATACAACTTGTGACCATAATACTGTGAGATAAATCAAGCACACAAGTTTAAATATTTCATGGATGCTTTTATATGAGGAAATGAAAGCATGCATAAGGAGCAAATTAATGATAGAAGGAAATAAGGGATAGGTCTTTTGTTAGTGGGAGAGGCCTAAGGAGATATTCATTTCCCCATGACTAATGAGTATCTATGTGGGTGCTTCTTTTCAATACATATTCCGTGGAGAAATGGGTTTAAAGTCTCTTTTTAAGGCTCATGTTGCAGGCTGTAGTGTGCACTTTTATTCTGATCTGTCAGTTTTCTTTGTACATTCTTGACACAGGGCTTTTATCTGACATATGTTGTATAAACATATTTCCCCTCTTATGTATTATCTTTCTATTTATTTTAAGCACAGAGTTTATCATTATAAAGTGTACTCATCATGATATACAATAGATCTCTCGAGGCTATTGCTCCTGCTCATTTTGTGTCTTTCTAGAAATGTCCAAAGAGTTCCTTTGCCTTGTTACTTGTTATTTGTATTTTTATTGTTGTGAGGTTTGATTTCCATATGCAGTAAAACCTTAGATCTCAAGAGATTTGTCTGGAAAGTATTTTGCAAGACAATCAAATATTTCCAATAAATTTTCATCGATAAATGAGCAATGTCTTGCTGTATGAGGAGTACTTGACTCCACACATCACATGATCACAGCTGAGCTGGTTTCCTAGTCCTTGTCTGTGCCTCCCTGTCTATGTCTGTGTCTCTCCCCTCTCCATTCCACTCCTCTCCTCTCCTTTCTTTCTCTCTCTGTCTCTGTCTCTGTCTCTGTCTCTCTGTCTGTGTTTCTGTCTCTGTCTCTCTCACTCTTCTCCACCTGCAAACGATTGAGAGCAGTTGCCCATCAGCCAGAGGTAATGAAGATCTAATCTGCACATTAGGAGTTGAAAAGGGCAGAGGAAAAATATCTCACTTCAGATGAGATTAGGAAGATATGTAAAATGTAAGAAACTGAAGAGTTTTATAGAAAAGCACTGCTGGAAGGAAGCACACAGCTATCGCTGTGTGAGTGATGAATCTATCCTTTAAAGGATGTCACATTTCTAGGAAAACATCCAAAGGACGAAAAGCAAGTGTCACTGGATAGGTTCCAAGTCAGAGTTACACAAAGAAAATTAATGGTTCCACTGCACCCACAGACAGCAGAGGGTCCATTGTGATAATGTCAGCTGTCCTACACAGCAACGCTCAGCTCTCTTTTCTCCTTCGCACTATCACAAAGATTTTCAAAGGTAACTGACAGTTAATTTATTTTTCTTTATGCTTTATGTTTTCTTATTTTGTATTATATTATAGCATTATAATGATTTTATGTGAATATTTTTGTGTTGTGGAACAAATCATGTAAGTTTCCATTATTCCTGAAGGGGAAATTCAGTTTGATATACAAGGATTTTTATTAAAAATGGGTTTCTGCAACAAATTATGCTTGCAATTCAAAATTGTACTGTAATTTCTACATTTATCTCTTAACTGATGTATTTAAATATAGTTTAAAAATAGACTTTGAAATATATTCTCCAACTGATTGGAGACTTTTAAGTGTGATGCAAACTCTTTTTGATTTTCGACTTTGTATGTAGGAAATAATTATTTGATCAGTGTTATGAAGCCTTTCTCTTTGTTTACTTATGGATATTCACTTTCAAGTCCTACACATAACTCTTTATTATATTTTATGGTGTTATGGGTGTCTAGTTTGGTTCTTTTTATTTTAAAGATGGTAAAATGCAACAAAACAAGACATAACAAATCCAATCAAAACAATGCAATGAAATTGGTACAGAACTTTAGAGTGGGTTACCAAGATAACAATAGTTGGTACCATAGAAGATTTTGATATCTTCACAGTAGTTGTCCATTCAATCAGGTATAGCAAAGTCAAACAAAACAGAACAGTATAAAAATCATTAACATGCAATATTCAATAGAGCAAAACAATTCGTCAGAACAAAGCAAAACAATGAAAACAGTGTTGCCTTCAAAGACAAGGTAAAAGGAAATCCTTCATTATTGCTCTGTTGCATACTGTCATCTTCCCAAGATATGCTCAGACCTGTGCCCTAGGTCAATGTAATCAACCCAGCAATACAAGCATTTAGAGGCTTTATGTGCCTTAGTTACTATAAACTCCAGTTGTCCTCCATACCTTCCAGTTACTAAGGGGAAGCAGAGGGCACTGCTAGGCTCATGGGAGACACTGACCTGTTCTCCCTGGCCCACCTGTCTCTCACTCACACCACCACTTACCAGAAAGGCTGGCTTGTTGCTTTCTTGGTTGGTCCGCCATGTTCCAACATGGCTGAATCTTGGGAGATGCTAACTTGTCCTCCTAATTTAGTTCTTTTATTACATTTACAAAGGAGTTTTTTCTCCACTGTGTGTTCCTGATAACTGGATATATTTGACTATAAATTTGTAAATTTACTTCATGAATTTCTATCCTGTTCCATTATTCCTTATTGTGCTTTCATGCCTGTATCAAAGTTCATTCCTTAATAATGTTATTTTTGCAAAAATAAACCTTGCTATGTTGTTTTCTGAAATTTAGCACACTGGTTTTCACCCACTTGGTTATCAAACTGCTGTGTTTGTTTAGAGAAATAAATATGATTGTTGATGATCTCACCCTCCCCCTATCTAGAGCAGCACTTCTCAGTCAGGCCTCTTCTCTGCGGGAGCCTGGCTAGGTGCTGTAGATCCAGCACCACTCCAAGCATGATATCCAATAAGAGGCCCAGCTCCTCCCTCAGAAATGAAAAGAGTGCAGTCTATGATAGAAATTTCTTCATGAAGATGACCACAGGAGAGGATGAGACACCATTTTCACGCCTGCTGGACTGGAGTAATCAAACTGAAGAGCCGATGCATAAACTGAATTTTTACTGGATTTTATATGATCTTGGGGGTTTCAATTCACATTATCTTTAGTTAGCCATATTAAATGAGGTTATCGCCACCTCCAAGTGCTTTCCAATATTAATGCAATAAAAACAGGAGGACAAGAGTGGCCACAAATTTCTTCAGTGCTTACTCTACTGGGGAGGATGTTCATGGAACAGGTTCCATACACTAAGACAGGTCCAGTTTTAAAAGACTTATTTGATTTTATTTCCTTTTGCATAGAAGAATTGAACATTCCAAATTTTTCATTTCCTATCAATGGCAAGTATTCAACACTGTGGTACTAATTGGTTGTGGATTGTTACTCAATCACCAGAGTATCAGCAGTCTTCGGAAATTACCATCTTTACTCACAACACTGCTGACACAATTCCAGTACAAAACATGTGAGATTTTAACATCTTTAAGCTGTAAAACTGTAAAAGTGTTAATTGTAAGCTGTAAAAATGATTCATACTGTGCAATATTAATTTATTTATATTGTTGCACTTTGCCTCATCTTTCCACACACCTTACAGGTCCCGAGATGATATTATTTCCTGTCACAAAGCCCCCTTCATGAACATTTAAAGTCTTCTTTTTTTAAAATTTTATTTAAGGAGAAAAGAAAAAAAAAGCAGAGAAAGGGTACAAGTTATACAGATTTACAGAAAAAAATAAACAGTAGGAAATCACTAGTTAATGGATTACATATTGTCATCTTAGAAATAATTGTTCAAGTCACAAAATTAAAGCTTGTAAAGTGGACATTCCAACAATGATACTGCAAACAGTTCTGTTCAATGATCCAATAAAACTCAGAGATATCATTTTCTATCTTATACACTTAAATATACATGCAGTTATATAGTTTAGAGCACTTTTTTTTCCTCTCTTTTGTACAATGACTATTACACATTTTGGTTTTCATTTCTCCCATGGTTCTTATTACTTTTTTGGAAGAGAGTAAAACCAAATGTGACATAACAGAACAGACTCGGTCAAGTCAAAAGGGTGGACATAATAGATAATGTAAAAACATAATACAAGGTGATCAACAATGGTTACCATAATGCCTTCCGCTATCTCTAATAGAATTGCCTATATCGTTAGTTATAATACAATTGAACAAAACAGTAAAGAATAAAAAAGACAAAACCAAGACATTGGAGATATTGTAGGTCTTCAAAAGTAGATAAAAGTCAACAAGAATGGGCATTATAATGAATCTCATTATCTTCACAGCTGATGCCTAAACTTTCAAACCTGATACTATCCAGCAAAACAGAATAGGGGAACATCAGTCAAAAACAAGATGGTGAGAGTAATACAGGGCTTTAAATCGAGATAATGGAAAGTCAAAGTGGG